TCCAAATGTGAACCTAAATTAATCCCAAAGTAATTTTTGTAAAAATATGAATTACTATATATGTACACAAGGATATTTATAGCATTAAAAGAGAATAAGCAACCCACATTTCCATCAGTTGGGGGACTAGTTGACTATAGAATATCCACATGATGCAATACAATAGTAAAAAGAAATAGTTAGGATTTTTACATACTCCTATGAAACATCTCCAAGATGTATTGTTAAGCAATCAAAAGTAAAATGGGCTTAGACAGTACGGCTGGTGACATTAGCTAGTGCTCGCTCTGCCCTAACAGGGCAGCAGCAGACTACAAGAGACTGAACTGTATCTGCCTCTATTTCCAATAGACTCACGTTCAACTTTCACTCACAAAAAGAAGCCGGGAAAATTTTATTAGTCCGTTTTTTAAAGAAAGCTAATAGAAAATTATAGCAAAAACAAGGAACCCGAACTTTGGTAACACAGCTGGAACAGCGGTGACGGCAGCGGCGGGAGAAGAGGTTTAATTTAGTTGATTTTCTGTGGTTGTGGGTTGTTCGCTAGTCTCTCGGTGACGGAAGCTGCACATTTTTTGGAAGGAATGGAGAAGCTGCTGGAGGTTTGGTTCTCCCACAGCAACCTGACACAAACCAAGGATCTGGGGATCTTCGCACTATCCCGAGATCTGAGTGGGACATAGTTTTGAAGGATGTGCAATGTTCAGTCGTTAAGTGTGACAAAAACTGACAAGCAGGAAGCTTATGTACTCAGTGAGAGCAGCACGTTTGTCTCCAAGAGACGTTTCATTTTGAAGACGTGGTACCACCCTCTTGCTGAAAGCACTGGTTCCCCTGTTGAATCTTGCTAAGGATGACAGTGGGTTTGACTCAATTCAAAGCTTCTTTTATTCTTGCAAGAATTTCATGAAGCCTTCTCACCAAGGGTACCCACACCGGAATTTCTAGGAAGAAATAGAGTTTCTAGATGCAATTTTCCCAAATGGAGCAGCGTATTGTATGGGACGTATGAATTCTGACTTATACAGTACTTACATACTCTGGATTTCCCAGAGAGTCGAGTAATCAGTCAGCCAGAAAAGACCCTGGAAATTCTGATGAGTGAGCTTGACTCAGCAGTTATGGACCAGTTCTACATGAAAGATGGTGTTACGGCAAAGGATGTCACTCGTGAGACTGGAATTCGTGACCTGATACCAGGTTCTGTCATTGATGTTCAATCTTTGTGGGTATTAAATGAATGGAATGAAATCTGATGGAACTTAGTGGACTATTCACATCACTCCAAAACCAGAACTTTCTTATGTTAGCTTTGAAACAAACTTAAGTCAGACTTCCTATGCTGACCTGATCACGAAAGTTGTGGAAGTCTTCAAGCCAGGAAAATCTGTGACCACCTTGTTTGTTAATCAGAGTTCTAAATGTTGCACAGTGCTTGCTTCGCCCCAGAAGATTGAAGGCTTTAAACATCTTGATTGCCAGAGTGCTATGTTCAATGATTACAATTTTGTTTTTACCAGTTTTGTTAAGAAGCAGCAACAACAGCAGAGTTGATTAAGAAAAATGAAGAAAAACGCAAAAAGAGAACACAAGCAGAAGGTGGTGGCTGCTTTCTAGATGTTAATACCGGAGGCCATGCTTTCCATAACCACCACCTACCTTGTAGTTGCAGAGAGGACTAGATGTAATGATAGTGTAATCATTTTGAATTGTATGCATTATTATATCAAAGAGTTAGATATATTCCATGAATATTCTCTTCTGTGTTTAGGTATTCTATGCCATTCTTGCTGTGAAATTGATGTGCATGTAGAAAAAACCTTTTACTGTATGGAACTTTACAACCCTTGTGAAAACAATTCAATTTGGTTTATGCACAGTGTAATATTTCTCTAGGTATCATCCAAAATTCCTCACGGACAAGGCTTTCGTTCTCATTGGGTGTTGGCCTCAGCCAAACCATCTGGGACTGTTCTATTAAACTGCTGGCAGAATTTTACATACAGTTACCTCCACTTTCTAGAACTAATTATTTACTAATGTTATTGGAACCAATTTCTACTTCATACAGATGTTTTTTGCAACAGAAATTAAAGTTTTTTCCCACAAATCAGGTCCTGTTAAGAAAATGATTCCAGTTACTTGTTTTGTGTATTACTATTTTAAAATTATTGGTCCATGCATTTGTAGTCCTATAATTGATTTCTTCTCTCACTAGGGTGTCTTTCCTCAAACCCTCCAAATAAAGCACTACACTGTTAACAACAACAAATAAAAAAGTAAAATGAAAGACTATGCACAGTATGCTCATTTATGTGACAAGAAATTATAGGGAACAAACATAGTGTATGTGTGTGTACATACATATAAATATATATTCCCCCATATTTTAAACAATAATTAATGGAAGAAAAAATTTAAAAAATTGGTTACAGAGTATGGAACTAATGTATATAAACATATTTGCTTAAATTATAGGGAACAAACATAGTGTATGTGTGTGTACATATATATAAATATATATTCCCCCATATTTTAAACAATAACTAATGGAAGAAAAAATTTAAAAAATTGGTTACAGAGTATGGAACTAATGTATATAAACATATTTGCTTAAATTAAATACAACAAGGAAAGAAAAGTTAATAAAAATACTTACATAGAGAAAATAGGAGGGGACAAATAAAGATGCTAAATAACTCTAAATGTATCTTTTTACAGGTTTGACTTTGGAATCATGTAAAAATTTCAACTTATTGTAAAGTTAGATCAAAAAATATTTAAAGATATTCTGAAATATTAAAATCAAGTCAAAAGAAATAACTCTAAATATACATCAAGTTGGTGGTTATAACTATGAAAAATATTCATTTCAACTGACTTTTTAAAAAGAATACTGAATTTGACTGGGCATCCATCTTGGAATATCCATAAAAATGCCCATGTTCAAACCTCAAACTGCATTTTCTGAACATATTTTAATAGTAATAATATATTTTTCTTAAA